GAGAGGAGGGGGAGGGAGGGGGGAGGGGGGAGGGAGGGAGGGAGGGGGGGGAGGGGGGGGGTGGGAGGGAGGGAGGGTGGGAGGGAGGGAGGGAGGGGGGAGGGAGAGAGAGAAAGAAGGGAGCGAGGGAAGGAGGGGGAGGAGGAGGAGGAGGAGGAGGAGGAGGAGGAGGAGGAGGAGGAGGAGGGGAGGAGGAGGAGGAGAGGGAGGGAGGGAGGAGGGAGGAGAGGAGAGAGAGAGAGGAGGGAGAGGAGAGAGAGAGAGAGAGAGAGAGGGGGTGAGAGAGAGAGAGGGCGAAAGAGCAATAGAGCGATAGAGAGCAATAGAGAGCGATGGAGCGATTGGGAAGGATGAAGCGACAGAGAGCGATAGAGAGCGATAGAGCAAGGGCGAGAGAATGAAGAGAGGGAGGGCGAGAGAGCGAGGGTGAGAGAGCGAGAGAGCGAGGGCGGGAGAGCGAAAGAAAGGTGTAAACCATCACTTGGCATGCAATATCCCAATTGCAAGTTGTCGCATCGCAGCTATCGCAAGTGCGATGAGCCATCAACAGCGAAACTGCGTAACTTACTATCCTGCTTCTCGTGGAAAAGCAGATCTGGGAAGGTCTTCAGAGTGCTCCGTTTCAGTTTTGGCAATCCGATGACGTTGGTTGCCGTACTTCCGCGCGGCTGATCCTTGTTCTTGGTGATCTTGGCAGGTTCCTTCAGATGTTCCTGTTCGGCGATATGCCCCAGTCGCCTCCGCATGTCTCGATCTGTGACATAAACAGAACCGGCACCAAAAGAGACCTGTTCGGAACTGCCAGCGAAAGCGACCTGGCGGCCCTCCTCGGCCTCACCCTGGCTAGAAATTCCTGAGGAGAAAACGGAGCGCACCTCTGTAGCCACACTCTGCCTGGAGCTGCCTGCGGAGGAGACGGGGCGGGTATCTCCAGCTGCGCTCTGGCTAGAAGGTCCTGAGGGGACGGGGCGCGCTTCTGTAGCCACACCCTGCCTGGAAATGCCTGCGGAGGAAACGGGGCCGGTATCTCCAGCTGCGCTCTGGCTAGAATGTCCTGAGGAGAAGACATCTCCAGCCACGCCTTGATCTGGAACAGAATCTGAAGGCTGTGACTCCAATTCAGCATCAACACCTGCATCGATGTCATTCGTGCAGAAATGGGCATCGCCACTGCCTGCATTGTGCAGGATGACAGGTGCATACACCGACCCTGCTTGAGGATGGCCAGGGTGTCTTTCAAAGCCTGGGTGAAAGCATCGAACCCATTGCCTGTAAGTTCAGAACCTACTGATGCTATCTGGTTAGCGATAGCCAGAGCTCTTCTGTAGCGCTCGTGCTGTGTCAGGGCTCGTGTCTCCCTGGGCGCACTCTGAAGGGTCAGAGTTGGGTCACGTCGGGTCACTGGAACATGCTGGCTACCCATATGCCATCTGGAACTGAAGAGAGTGTTCTCAAACAGACCCAACCCCAGAACCTGGCGCACCCTCAGCATGTGCCTGCATGGGAGCTGGTATCTTCTACGAAATGAGCACTGACAGTGAGTGCTGCATGGGGTGATCGGACAGCCTGAGGTAGTGGTGCACCTAAACTCATCACCGACCCGATCCAGCTCTACGTTCTCCATCAGCTTTGCCTGCGCTTTGACAGCCTGGAAAGCAAATGACGTCAGGTGCGCCTGATACACACCCATGTCACCTGTGTGGACACAGACAAGCCTTTTGTGCCACATATTGTGGGTCTGAAACTGATGGTCGCGCCTTTGTGAGAACAGCAGCACGGTCACTACCCTGGCAAAGTCTGGAAAAGAGGAATGCACACGGCACACATCTTTCAACTTGCCATTGAAGTTCTCCAGTTGGTCGATGGTGAACGTCCCATACAGGCCACCATCCGTCAGCCCCCTGACCCACTCATGGCGGACGGGGTGCCAGTTAGTGTCAAAGTACTCTCGGACGCACTGAGGCGACGGGCTTTTCCGCAGCCTGGCATATGACACCTCATCGGGAGCATTTACAAGTGACTGTAGCACATGCAGTGCACGCTCCTTCTGGTCCTCGGTCAAGTTCTGACCAACGGTGATCCCCCTGCGGAAACTGCGAAGAATATGAAACTTGCACAGCTGCCGGTAACTATCTGCAAACACGGAACGGATGGCACCTCTCAGGACACTGCCTCTGTCGGTGATAAAGACCTTGACAGCAGCACTAGCCTCCTCGTTGCCAGCCCTGAAAATCTCCAGCATCACCTGGATCATGACCTGGGTCTCTGATGTGATCAGGAACATGCCAACCAACTCGCTGTGACCCATCCCATCCACACACATCATAACGAAGAGAGGGAACCGAGTGTCCACGAGTTTGTATGTGGAGTCAATGAGGCAAATCTCGGGAAACTTCTTGAACTTGTCGGCCGTGTACTGATCTTGAAAAAGATACCGCAGACTTCACCGTTGTCATCAACAACAGTCGTTGAAAACCCCTGACTGGTTAAAATCTCTATGGCGGCTCGAATGTCAAAGCTATGACTTTTGGGCTTTCTCGTCATGTTGAACAGATCATGGCGTGTGATGAATTTTCCTGTCGAATCTTCCATCACAGCCCTCACGAACTTGGGATCTGTACCCACAGCCACGTGCTCATTGACCCTTTGCTTGTCGTCCGGATCCAGCTGCCGTTTCTCCGGTTGCATTAGGCAGCCCGCTCTCGACGTCTGATGGCTGTGTTCCAGCTGAAGACAAAGACACAAAGTTGTAACATCTGTGCATTACCTGGCAGTGGACGGCAATCGCCTCAAAGCAAATAGACATTATCATTGGCACGTGCCGTGTGTGACATGATAGGAACACGTTGTTTTTTTTTGTAAGTCACGGCACTGTGGCTAAGAATCTGTCTTTAGGCGATTCTAGCGCTGAAGTCAACACATCGAAACCACTTTTATATGCGCTTCGATGATGTGCCTGGTATTTTCATGCTCACTACCTCTTGTGTCATGGTCACCGCTTCCCGTCGTTACCACGCTTAAGTTGCTAACAAACTGACATCGACGTATCTCTTATCTCTGCACCCTCTTGTCAATCTTGCTGGCGTAGCGTACATGCGTACATTTACGTATCGACTGTGTGTGCTTACATCATAAACCGAATACGCGCCTTTCCTGACACGCGTTTTTCCAACAAGCATTATCCTGCAGTGAGATTGGCAGCCAAAATATCTGCGCAAATATAATGGCTTACCATCTCTTCCATGTGCTCTTTTGCGCTCCATAACATTTGCATGGACTTTTCACTGACAGCCACTTCCCAATATGATTGTTATCCATAAGCACTTGTCCCTTAACGAACTTTGTTCCCTTCGCTCTCTATTCTGACTGGCACGAAACATACGACGTTTATCATACGGCCAAATGTCCTCTGTCTACTCCTACGTTTGTCAGCCGGCCAGATAATATATAGCCTTTCCCACCTTTGCAAACCGAATTTGGTTGGCCAATGTCGGGTTTGACTTTCATGTCAGCGTTCAAAGTGAGTGGGACTAAATATCCCCTTCCCTTACCCGAACTGAATACGAAACCACATCTGCATTGCACCTGTAGCTGAATTTGTAACGCATCAACAGCCAAACGTTGACACTTTTGAGCTTCGCTCGCCGGCGGTTGACCGCGTTCATAATTTTCAATCAATACAGATACAAAAGGACAATGCGGGCTTTGTTAACCAGTTAGTCATGACGTATATAGCTCGCATGTTTCCCATCTGCTTTCATTCCTTACATCGATTGCTGTATGTCGATTGGCATTCTTTTATGGTGAGCCACGTACGTCTTCGTGTTTCTTGGGGTGTCAGCTGGGTGGGAGAAAATTTCGACCTCGTAAAGCTAATTGGTGCAACCTCGTTGAAGGTTCATTACCACCACCTTATTACTTGTCGAATTATGGCTATTACGCTACCTGGGTTAGAGACGTCAGACGTTACATGAAATGCCACGACGGTCGCGAGTTTCTGTAGTCGCCATCATAACGCCATTTGTCTAACGAATACGCTAGAGAGCAAGATAAAGAGGATGGAAGAGTGCGTGATGGGGCCCAAAATGGGTTGACCGTGTTCTTCAGCAATTTGTGGGAGCTCAGTGCCTGTTTGCACGTATGTAACAAGCTTCCTAGTGGCATTTTGAAATGCATTTGACCTCCTACTGTTTGAACTCAGCGAAGAAATGTCGGATCTAGCCCATGAAAGGAAGAATTCCACAGCTGCAAGGGGTTTCGAAATGAGATAGCCATTTTGAAGGCAATGCAGTGCAGTTTACATTACTGTACTCATTAGGGCTTAGAACCACCTGGCCCCTGGGCGCGACGCCCGCAAACTTGTGCTTGTGCAAACTGTGTGCAAACTTGTGCAGACTATGCATGGTCACCTAGTCAAGCATAACACCATGGAAACATCTCCCGTGTGCTGACACCTTATTGCTACTGTGGCACCCAAGACCGACGTAAATATTAGCGCGCAAATATTCGTATCTGGCGTACGGTAGCGCAATTTCCGGCACCAATGGAGTTCATTGTTTATTTGGCTAGCCATAAATCACATGCGTTCAATTCATGTTTCGAACATAATTCACGCTTTGTGCTGCAGAATGCAGGAAGTTGGACAGAGGTGGCAGTCATGGTAGAAATAGGACTGGGCATCGAGCACTTAAAAGACAAGTCTACAAGCAAGCATGCGAATGCAATCGAACAGCACTAACGCATTAAGATGCAAGACACGCACACAAAATGACGTTTGGATTCTGGAAACACAGCACCAATTAGCTCGATACCTCACGAGAAGTCGAAGTTCCACAAGTAAGTCAGCCCGTCTGCAACGATGGCAATTTCGCACGTTCAGTTTGGCACCCCTTCTAACGTCATACAAGCGTTCCATCACATAATGAAACGGTGGCGTATTGGAAAGTATTTTACTGATTAGTGAAATTCTGTTACTACAGCAATCCTAAGCACATCAAACGTTACCATCATCAGCTGTGCATCAGCTGTCAAACGCTAACAGCTATAAGTGAGTCGATTTCATCATAAGTGGCGCGTGCCTCGGCATATTCAAATGTGGGCCATTCCCTTTAAGCATGGATGGAAAGTGGCATGTGGACGCCAAAAGGGCTTTTGTCAACTATTTCCCCAGACATGCTGAGAAATGCCAATACTCACCATCACGTCTGCACGCAAAGCTTGCCACGACTGCAGAGCGCATACACCTGGGCGAGGCATTCCAACTTTCTCGTACTGCAAATCAACAAATAGCTTTCATTAACACGCATGATCAATGCTCTTAACAGCCACACGATTGGTGCAGCTAAGCGCTTGCGTGGTGACTTCGTTGAGTAACGGAGTCTGAATTATAGAAGCTGGAGGGAAGCGAGTCGTTTAGTGGCTTTTTTGACAGGGGTGTGCACAAATCTGACGCCAAACGGCTCTGACGCCACAGACGTTCACGCCGAAGCCATTATGACAAGACCCCACATAACACGCTGGACCCATGTCTCAACACGATCGACGCCACCCGGGAGCGTACAGTGCACATTGGATAGCAAAAAAGGCGGTAGTATATATATATATATATATATATATATACATATATCGACGTCTCCGAAAGCATGTCAATGACTCCTTTGTTCAGACTTCTTTGCCGTTTACGTTTACAGTCTGGCCCATGAGATTGTCTTGTGCAAGGATAGAGTCGTGGGGATACAAAGCCAAGTTTCTTTCGAAAGAATCACGTGCACCGACATCCTCCACGCTAATAATTTCTGCGTGTGAAGGTTTTCGACATGCAATCTTAATGATAACCGATTGGATTCCTCCAGTGCGGATACAATGCGAGTGAGCCAATTTGTCTGTCAATATGCCAATCTGGCTGTACTTAGTGCTTATAAAGAGTGTTGTGGACGTAATGCAATTAGCCACGAAAGCTGCTCAACGTCATCCCTCACAACGGTTTGCGGTCCATGTATGTATCCAGCAGCTACCTTACGGCGTTAGAAAGGAAACTAGCGTGACATGTACATGTAAACGCCATTTCTCTGCACTCTTCCTCTGCCAATACTCCGTGTGACTGTATTGTTCTGAACCGTTGGGATGCAAATCAATAGTGGCATTGAGCGATATATACATGAGCGATAAGTGCAACGTTAGTATTGGTTGACTCGTACTGGCCCCTAGATCAGTGAATGAGGAGTACGATCACACAAAATGTCTCTGCTTAGTCATGGAGGCGACCGCCAATCAGGATGTTGACAGCAGTGATAACTTTCGCAGTGAATTGAAGACTTTTCTTCCTTCAACTAATTACGAGCGACATCTTTGCTTCTTGCAGTGTGTACCAAAAGTACAGTGTAAGCACAACATAATGCAACGAAAGGAATCTAAGTTTCCTCCCAGATCTCGGAGGACTTGACTTGACAGAAATAGTACAAATTCAGTGAAAATGTCTGAAAGTCGGGTACAAAGACAGCGGACATCGAATAGCACAAATGGGGCTGATTTGATAACAACTGTTCTTAAACACAGTCAGGAAACAAATTGTTCCCCATCGAAATATACCAGGGCGTTGTTCCACAACATGCGTTACTGAGCTCAGGTGCGCAAAATGACCCACCCGACCCAAAAAGACGCCAACAAATGGGTTTCTCTCCAAATGAAGTCCAAAGGTGCGAGGTTTGATTCCCTACGGTGCCACCACTCTTGCCAGGCGGTGAAGCAGGCGACGCGATATAGCGTTAGCAACTGAGTATGGTCTAAAGCACCAAGACACACCAGATTGCAAAAAGGGCGAGCTTGCAGGCAGTGCGAAGCGCATGGCGGGTCGCGCAATTACGGGTCGCTGCCAGTTACAGGTTGACTCCCCTTCCCGCTTCAGTACTAGAGGTAAAATAGTCATTGCTCTAAAGCCGTTAGCCTCTAAGGTGCATCATGCATAAGGGTGCTCATGAAAGACTTGACCGCCGGTTGCAATGAGATGGTTTTCGGCATAACCGGGTCTGCGTATCAGGCCAATGGCGCCCATCGAACACTAGCGCACCTCTCCCGTCCCAAGCTGTTAAAATACGAAAACCATACATACGATTGCCACCTCTCGACGCAACTCGAAGATGTGATAGTACATGCGAGGCAAAATGTCTATGCAGAGCAAGGGTCGGATGGCTTTTTTTATCTGGCAAAACAGCTTTAGGCATAACTTGTTCCTTACCTTGTTGACCGCACTCGCTTGCTGGACAATCCAAGGATCACGATGTTTGCCGCCATGGACACAAGATCAGAGACACTTTGTAGTACACCAAACGCCTAACAGCATCCTCAGCATCCGGCTGGCCTCTGAAATACTCAGCCAGCTTGCCCTCCGGGTTTTTCTCAAGCTCACTCGATAGCTTGGCAGCCTGCCGCCGGCAAAAACACCGTGTTGCTGCCATTGGCCATGTTCCTCCACTGCAGCTTCCAGTTCGGCGTACGATGAAAACGTATCTCTCACTCGCAACACCATCGCGGCGGAGATAAATACGCACAATAGCCCTGAACGTCCTCAATGCCACCTCCTTGAACAACTGGGAACAACGACACTAGGCGCCCAAGCAGAATAGGAAGTGGGAAGCAGGGGAATACAACACACTGCACTCCAAAGTTTTGAGTAGTAGGTATCGACACATACTATAAGTATACCAGAATCGTGACTAACAACGT